CCCCCCCCCCCCCCCCCCTCCCTTCCCAACATTTTCCCAAAATTCAACCACAAATCCTCTATAAATTAATTTTACATGTAAACTCAAAAAAAATTTTAACTATACATTTTTTTAACAAAATACTATTCCACAATACATTTTAGCTAAAAAAAAAAAAGGGGGCTCAAACAAGGGTTCAATCTTTTTTTTGTAGTATTAATTATTTTGCTTATTTAAAAAACAATGGGCAAATAAGTCTTTTTACTTTATTTTAAAGAAAAAATTGGAATCAAGAATAGTTTATGTTAATTTGAGAGCAAGAATGCTGTGAAAAAGTTTGAGACTAAAATTTAATAATGTGTAAAAGTTATGAACCTTTCGTACAATTAAAATCTAGTCTAGTTATTGACCATCATAAAGAGAAAAGAAATCCCCCTAGAAACGTACAAGAAGTTTTCTCCTTCTACGGTTCAAAAAAAAAATGATTTGATTCGAAATTTTGTCTACGTATAAAATTTTAATAAATGACAAAAGAGCCTATAAAATCAATTAGGCTAAAAAGAGAAAAGAAATCCCAAGCATTGAATGCAAGGACGCATCCAATTTTTTTTTAAACAAACGGTTTAGATCACACCTAGGTAAAACACGCATTAATTAAACACAAGCCACGTACCTTAAACTAATTAATAACTCCATTGATACACGCAATAAAGGGCCACAATCATACCACGTCCCTTCATCATGCATCAGTCATTTTTATGAAATGGAGCATCCATTGACATTTTTTTTAACAAAACCATAAGTTCATAGCTGAAAAATAAATAATTAAGCACGAGTTTTCGGGACTAGTTTATTAATTCAATTTTACTCAAAGTCATCAAAAACATTCAATTGTCACGATAATAAAAGGCTTGTAGCAACAAAATAAACAAGAAATAATTATATATAAAAAAAAAAGTTCACATAATACAAAAAGGTCCTAGGCGTAACATAAACTCGGACTCTGGGGACTATTTGTTAACAATAAATATTCAAGAGATCAAGTGTGAGCCTATATTCCTTTTGAGCAAAGGTTTTGTAAGAACGATCGAAATGTGTGCAGTACTATAGCCTTTTCGAGTGAAGGTTTTTAACAATGATCGAAAAGTGTATGAGCCTAGGATAACATGAGTGAACATTTATAATGCGAGGCCTTGCATGAAAGTCAAAGAATGACTAACCAAGTGGGGAGTGAATTGATTTTTAAAATTTTTTCAAAAATTAATTCTATATTTCAACCAATATGATAGCAAATGAGACAATTAAACAAATATACACAAATACGAAAGAAAATAAAGATTAAAAAGATAAATTCAAATAATAAGGGTAATATACAAGCAATAAGTGAAAGGGGGAGAGAATGTAAACGATATAATTATGAAAGTTCGATCCAAAACAATGATCTATTTCCTTCATTACCAAACTCTTTCGGCAGAAGCAATGCCTTTTCACTATATTGATTGATTTATAGTGCAATTCAATTCTTTTACAACGCTTTTATTGACTTACAAACAATGAGTACTGATTATTCCACAATGTTGAGCTATATGCGATCTCAAGACGACCCACACTATTAAATTTTACGGAACCTCAATATGACCACACTGTTGAACTTTACAGAACCTCAATATGCCCCACACGGTGACTTATAATAAAGAGCACCGATCATTATACAATATTGATCTTTACGTGACTTCAACATGACCCACACTTTATCAAAGTGGTTTTACAATAAAATCCTCTTTTAATAAATAATACAAAACAAATTAAGTATTAAGAGAGTCTGACATTTCAATGAATAATAATAAATGATAGCTCAAGTGTTAAGTGCAAAACTTTGATGAATGTGATAATTAAAAATTAGATTCAATCAATCAAAGTGTTTTAATAAGAAGATGAAGAAGAAATAAATGTAATGTAAGTTCAATAAATCTTCTCAAGAAATACCTCTCTTTTAATTAATGATTGTAATAGATTAAGTACTAAGAGAAAAATGAGGAACTTTGATAAATATGATAATTTTACAAATTTGATTCAATCAATCAAAATTTTCAATATGAAGTAGAAAGATTGATGCAATATAAATGCAAAGATCTTCTTCAAAAATATATCTCTTTTTAAAATTGATATAAATAAATTAAGCACAAAGAAAGATGAAAAACTTTGATGAGATAAATGAGTCAAAAAGTTTGATTCAATAATCAAAGTTTTTTCTATGAACAAATAAATGAAATTAATATAAAAATATAAGCTCAAAGAAGATATTTCACAAGAAAGCTCTTTTCTAGTTATTGTGATGAATGAAAAAGTTCTATCCAACCGAACATTTGCTTGTGAACCGAATGAACAAACTAGTTGTTGTACGTCAAAAGTTAGAACGATTACAAAATTTGTCCGTTGGCAAACTGGTCATCCGCTTGGTCAACTAGACGCTCAGTTGACCGTTGAATATTGAGTTTGATTGTTGACTTTCTTTTTAGAATAGTGATCTAAGTTCAAGTATAACTTTGAAAAATCAATATTACTTTTGATTTAAACATTTTATGCAAGTGATTGTGAAAATAACCTTTCGGGCACAAATGATTTTTGAGCTATTGTTAGTCATTACTAAAGATCAAAGTGTTATACTTTTACATATGATCTAAAAGGTCTAGTCTTTGATCTTGCTTCAAAGTTTTCTTCCATATTTGGCTCTTGGCTCTTAAACTTTTCGTCTTGATCTTTCTTTAATATCGTCTCTCATGATCTTGATCTTGATCTTGATCATTCTTGGCATTTATCTTTTAAGCCCTCGACTCGAATTATTTGACTTGAATGCTTAACTTTCACTTTGATCTTCATTTCAAGTCCGATATATAATGCTTGATTGATTTTAATATTGAACTATCATCACCCAAAATAAATTGTTAGAAGTAATATTAATCTTATTTGCTATGATCAAAACATTAAGGATAAAATCAACCATAGATCAACAATTTTCCCCTTTTTTATTATGACAAACGAAATGATTTGTAAGGTAAGATTGAACAATTTTTACCAAATTGATAAATGAATATAAGTTATAAATTTATCATGTAATTCATATCCCCTTATCTTTTACAAATCAATAACCGTATATTCAAATCATATTATATTTTCAATTCAAAGTATGCATAATCAACTCACTTCATTTCACCCTTTTGGCATAAGCAAAAAGATATAACATTTAAGATTAAAACACGACCATAGGAAACAATAAAAGATTTCCCAATTTCAATGCTTTTCAAATCTATCACTCAATTTTTCCTTTTAGCATAAACAAAAAGTTAGCATATCTGAGAGAAAAAAGTATGCCATAGAAGATCCACATTAAATCGACCATAGAAAATAGTAATATATTACACCCTCAATCAAGCACAAGATGCCAAATATATGCAAGTTTGAATAAGAGGATGATCATCACTTTATATTAAAAATATTAATCAAAGCATGAGTGATGAAATGATGAAAGTATAATCATTTGGGTAAAATTTATATACATTCCAACCAATTATGCACATAGTATCAATCAGACATTTAGTATATATTTAATTTAGCCACAAGCTTCAAATTTATTGATAATTCCCAATTTTTCTTTAGTGTTTAAAATAAAGCATTTGCAACCAAATAATTTGAAGTAAACTATTTTTCATTTAGCATGGTCCTAGTCATTTATTGCGATGTATGATTCTTCCTTTTTATTACACTATTTTGTCGAGGAGATCTAGGAGCCAAGAAAGAGCCATCAATTTGCAAAAATTCATCAAAATCAATATTATCAAATTCTCCATCATGATCACTTCAAACATATAACAGTGTATCCCTTTCATTTTGAACCTTTTTACAAAAATGTCTAAATGATTCAAAGTTTCATGCTTTAGGTTCTAAACTAGGACTCAAGTGAATCTAGAAAAGTCATCAATGACGACGAAAGTATAATACTTGCCATTTGAGTTTATGATTTATGGTCCAAAATGATTCATGTGAAGAAGTTGAACATGTTTTGTAGTAAAGAGTATTGCTTAACTTAGAAATAACTCTTCAATTGTTTTTTAAATTGACATGCATAAAAAAATTTCTCTTTCTCAAATTTCAAATATGGTTACCTTTAACAAAACAATTTTTGAAAATATTTGAAAGTAGATCCATGCAAACATGACCTTATCTTCTATCCCACAATTAAGTATCTTTTAAATTCGTTAAATACTTTTCTTTACTTTCAAACTCAATGTTTATGACATAAACATCCTTATCTCGGCTTCCTATAGAACATCATTTCTTTCTATGCAGTATCCTCAATAAAGCCATTTGGAAGAATCAAATTTGATAAGATAACATTTATCACACAATTGACTAAAAACTGAATAGATTATGTTTAATGTTATCTATTATGAGAACATTTTTCAATAAAGGGAGATGGGTGATTATCAATAATTTCAATGATTTATCTTTTGTCATTATTTTCAAAAGTATCATGACCACCATCATTTTTTTTAAATCGTCAATAAGATTGAACAATTGATATCAAAACATAATATACCACATTATATATCATAACATATTTCAAATACATAAAACTTGATTCATGCTCAACCAGACGTTCTCTTGATAGATCCAAACGTCTGCATAGAAAAGTTCCAATTGTTTGTTGATCCGGACGAAGGAATCCAGACATTTGTTTCTCCATTTTTAATTTAAAAAAAATTATTTGTGATCATAAAGGCATGATGCAACAGTTTCATCAACCAGAGAACACATGATCATATTAGCCACATATTTCAATATCATCTAAAATTTCCAAACCTCTTCGAATATGTTAAAGTCTATCAAGAGCTAGAGGCTAAGTATAACTATTGGCCAATTGAATTTTCGTATAGCTAATAAACCAAAGCGGTTGCCTTCGGATGCTAAAGACCATTAGTCTTAGTGCTACTAAGATATCTAAAAATCCACCCTACAAAGGTGCTATTCTTTACGATTAAATTAAAATATAGCACATAAACACATATTAAATAAAATATCAAATCAACCAGTGGTTAAGTAAAAGGAATCCAATCATATCTCGATATTTTGTTACGTTCACTAATATACCTTGACCATCTAAATTGATTGATGAACACTTTGGATTGTTCATTAGCTTCAATTTTTTTCATTTTGAACTCCATTATTTCTTTTTGGAATAGAGCTTGATTTCCGATCATGAGCTCAAACATCCACTAGCTAAAGACCATTTGCTCTTTATTTTCCTTGGTACCAACAGAGTAATTTAGTTTTTGTTCTTTGAAACCCATACAACTTTGGGTCTTTGGTAGTTAGTGCTAGTGGACTTTTTAATCCACTTGTAATTGCCTTCAAAATGTAACCTCTTTTTAATTGAACAATTGTAAGTTACATGCTAATTTTTATTGCAAAAATTACACGTGACATTTGAAATAGGGAAAGTAGTCTTTTAACAAAGAAATTTTCAAGAGACTTTTGCTTTAAAAAAAAGGTTTGTATAAAATTCCTCCTTTATAAAAAAAAAAACATATTTTTGTTCACCAAGCATTAAATCAAATTTTTTTTTTTTTGCCTTGAGTAAATTTGTGAACAATTTGAGTCAAATCTAAAATCTTTTCTTGTAAGGAGGAATTCTCCTTAATTAAAGCCTCATAATTGACTTTTTGTTTTTCAAAATTATTTTGAGTTTCCAAAAGTTTCTTTACCTCTTTTTCAAATAAATAATTTTTCTTTTTTAGTGTAGAGTAATTGAGAGCAAGTTTTTCAAATTCTTCAAGAAGTTCATCATAAGAGATAGGTAATTCATCATATGAACAATTTCCATTTGAATTTACCTCATCGTCAATAGCCATGAAGCACATGTTGGCAATTTCCTATTGACTTCCATCTTTTTCATGATTATCATTATCACTCTCATCCCATGTTGATTGAAGTGCTTTCTTTTTTATAAATCTAATCTTTTGTTGTCCATTTTCTTTTTTCCTTTTGGAATCAATGATTGTTGCAAAAAAAATTTCCATTTTTTAACAAGAAGAACTAGATCGTAAAGTTCTTCATCATTCATATTTTTGCTTGAAGTGCCTTCATCAACTATTGATTCCAAAGCAATTTGGCGGCTTTCTTCTTCTTTGCTTTTCATTGTTTTCTCCTTTTTCTCGGTGCAATTTATCTCATATGTCATCAATGTTTCATAGAGCTCTTTCAATAAATATGTGTTGATATCTTTGGTGTTTTCTATCAACATTCTCAATGGGATCCATTCTTTTGAGAGTGACCTAAGCAATGTACTCACAAGTTCACCGTTAGTAAATTTTCGATCAAAACCTTTGAGACAATTAATAAATCTGTAAAACGAGTGATCATGTCAACAAGTGGTTCATTTTCTTTCATAAAGAAATTTTCAAAATCTTTAATTAATTGTGAGCAACAAAGTGGAATTGGAATACTTGATGAAGATGCTGGACAACAACAAGAATTCTTCGATCACAAAAGAAAACTCCAGTGAAACTACGAAAAACCTCTCCATCACTTCTATCGCTCAACGGCCTTCCAACGCCAAGATTCCATCAAGAATCTATATAGCTCATCATTCAAATCTATGATTTCTGTTGGAATTTCGTTCAAGAGCAGAGTCAGAAAAAAGTCTGGTCCATTTTGAATCCACAAAATACACAATCCCTTACAAAATCCTCCAAATTATTATTACCAGCATATTCCAATTTTATCCCTTACCTGATTTTAGATTCTCCTTTTCATCTCCCAGGTACTGAAGATAGAGTCGTAATTTATTTCACCAGCCTTCGAGGGATTTGAAGAACGTTCCAAGACTGTCACAATATTCAAATGATTTTTAAAGGCTTTCATGTATGCCTGGACGAGACATTTCAATGAATGCAACTTATAGGAAGGAATTACAGAAAGTATTTGGAGAAAGCAGTGTAAAGAATTTGATGTTTGCTTTTCTTTTAATTTTTTTTTTTACTTAATTATCCCTTTATTTAAATCATTTAATAGATATTTACTATTTTGCCTCCATTTTAATTTGTAAAATATGGTCATACTTAACTTTTGGGTCAACTAACGGAGAAATGGATGAAATTTGTCTAAAAGGGGCTTCATCTACAATGTTTGAAAATGTCAAGGACAACGGTCACAACAAATCAAAAGTTTGCGAAAAGCCTGTTAGTATTTCAAATGTTTGGACTTTTGCTGCAATTATCCCTTAATTATATCGATCTAAAACTGCAATTGGTAGCCCAAGAATCTTTTAGTGGGCAACTAGGGGTGTTAATAGGCTTGATCAATTGTTCGTTGACTCAGCTTAACGTAAGTATCCCTATATAATTATGGCCCCTTTGGTGAGAGAGACTTAACACATAAATTATAGACGCATGAGTATTTTCCTTTGTCCTCCCCCCTTTCGAATGAAAATAGCGGCTGCCGCCCCCCAGGGCACATCCAAGTTGGTGGAATAATCACATTGGGGGGCTCTGAAACCAAGCGTGGGGAGTTCGATTCCTGGTGGGAACCTTTGATCCAATAAAGGAGGAATTATTGGTGGATTAATCACCATGGAGGAGGCTCCCTTTGGGGAAGGAGTAAAAGTCATGTGGGAACCTGGGAACCAATAAGGGCACATCCAGCGATTTACCTCCCTGAGCAGCTGAGGGGCCGGAGGTTCAGGGACGAGGATATAGTCTGGCGCAAGTTGGGACACCTCGTTAAAAAAAAAAAAAAAATAGCGGCTGCCCCATTGGCTCTTCTTTTACCCGTGGCTGCTTAGCTCATTTGTGATCACCTTCTTCTCTTTGCTTGTTAACGTTAGTCATTGGTGTTGAATCCTCTTCCGACTCCTCTTGTGACTACCTTTTTAACTATTTTGTTTGTCCCTTGTATGATTCTTGGGCGATTTCTTCATAGGTTTGAGTGAGATTATTGGTTTAATATTGTATGGCATTTCCTTATGTTTTTGGTTGTCAATCTGTGCCGTGAAACAACCACCATTAGGTTTGGGATTACCGTGTTAGGTAATTATTGCCTGTTTCTAGAAACATGGATTATTTTTTGATTATCTGTGATATTGTTGTATTTCGTTATTTTAACTATTGCGTAATTTCATATTGTTGATACGTTACCCGCTTGACCATTTCCTTGATCTGAGATCCTGAGTTTCCTGAAACCATAGAATCTAGAATGACGTATATTTACGACCTTTTAGGCTATAATATGTTTAGTTATTCTCTTAAAGGTTGTTTCCTACTACATATCTTATTTGTTAAGATATCTATGCGTCACTTTAACTTTGGTATCTTTAATAGTAATGGTGACTTTTTTATTTGCTAACAAAAAATGAAAGAAATTTTGGTACAACAAAAAGTGTTAAAGTTTTTGATAAATCTTTTTCTACTACTGTGATCGACGATCAGAAGAAAGAATACAATGAACTTGCATATGCTTCTATTATTTTATATTCATCTGACTCCGTTTTGCATTAAGTGTCTAAAGTAGTACTTTGTATGACCTTTTTGTGAGCTAAAAATCATAACTCCAACATATTGTTGCTTTGTCCACTTCAGAGTTTGAGTATACAATCGTCATTGAAGCTATTAAAGGAGTTTTGTGGTTTAAAGATTACGTAATGAACTGGATATCTCAAGTGATAATGTGATTGTATACTTTAACAATCAATCTGTCATCCATTTGTGAAAGAATTTTGTATTCCACAAATGCATTAAACATATTGATGCCAGGCTATATTTTATTAGAGTAGTATCTCAATATTTGATAAAACTTGAAAAAGTGGATTCATATTATAATGCTATATATATGGGCACTGAGGCATTCCCCTTTGCAAGGTTTAGAAGTCATCTTACACTTCTAAACAACGATAAGGTATGTAACATTTCAACTTTGAAATTTCGTTTTGCGACTACTAAACTAGTTTTTCTTTTGCAGTTGTATTTTACATCAAGATGGAAGTTTGTTAGGTATTTTGATAGCAAATAAATTCGAGACTACGATGATTAATTTGGGTCGACTTTTTATTCATAGATTTTGTTCGAAGCTTGGGATTGAATATTGGAAAATTTTCATAACTAAGAGAATAACTATTACCTATTTCAAAAGTAAGAATACAAGTTTTAAATTTCAAAAATTAGATATTCATTAAAATAATTTAATTAATTAATTACATATTTTATTAATTAAATATATTAAGACCACAGATTTATACAATATGATCACAGATTCACAATTTAATTAATCACATATTATTTTTCGATCACAAATTAGAATTTTTTAATATCACAAATTATTTTACGATCACAGTTCAAAACTTTTGTAGGTTACAATTTGTCGGTCGATCACAGATTATGAATTTATACGTCACAATTTATTAATAAGTCACAAATCATAAATATTATAGGTCACAATTTATTAAACAGTCACAAATTATTAATTTTTTTGGTCACAAATTATTTTTTGGTCACAATTTATCTTTCTCATTGGTCATATATTATTTATTGTTCACAGATTAACCAGTTTAATGGTCACAATCAACCAGTTAGTCTTTGACCACTAACAAACAACCACTGCCTCCAACATTACCAACACCACCATCACCGTTAGAACCACCACCACCATCACCCTACAACAACACCACTGTCTCAAACAAAATCAATACATTCATCTCGACAGATCACGGCCACCAACATTGCACCATCACCACCGTATTCACTACCACGACCACCGTCGTCTACTTGCACCGCTACCCTTAAAATATGGAAGTTGCCACCATCACACTCTTAACAACCAAAAACCACCACAACTACCGTACTCAAATACCACCAAAAAGTCAACTCCAACACTATCACCGCCACAACTATACCAACACCACAGTCGTCGCTGTAGCACACAACCATCACCACCACCATCTCAGCATCATGGTAGACCAATTGTAGAGCTCCACAAATCCACCATGCCGCCACCGCCACTACCATCGCAACCAACGTCGCAGTCGATCCACAGCTATAGCCATCGACAGCGGCGACAGATCATAGCAATGCGAGTGACATGCGAGCTATAGCGCGACATGGCACTGCAGATCGTTGCAGGATGGAGCTGTCAAAGTAGATGAGGCCACATATTGCGCTATCGTGTGAGCGACAGGTGCACTATCGTCACGTCACGGAGAGTCGACATAACCTGGGATGAAGTCGTCGTAGAAGTTGAACTCTGCACGCATCGGTCATAGATGTTGTAGTGCTACTAGTCGCCCATGATTCAAAATTATGCTACTTGTGGGAGGAAATGTAGAGAGATAGAGAGTGAGAGGGGGAGTGGAAACACCGCACCTCAACTCCACAGATTTGAAGGGCGACACGCCACTGATGTTGGAGTTGTGTTTTCGAGAAAGGGTTGAGAGAGAGGAGGCGACGATTTTTTTTTTTTTGGTCAAGGAGGCGATGGTTGTTTTGAGGGAGAATGGAGAAATGTGAGAGAGAGAATTAGGGTTTGTGAGTAAAAATATTTATTTTATAAAAATAATAATTAAAATAAAAATTTTGATTATCGAAATATTAAACTTTCCCCTAATTTTAGAATTCAAAATTTTAATGCTAGGGTTTTATGAAGGGAAAAATTCATAATCCAGGTATATTGTTTACACCATTTTAAAACTCAAGTAAATAGTTTGAAATTTCAAAATTCAGGATTATATTTAATTAATTAAAAATATTTATTAAATAAAGATAATAAAGTCACAGTTACATAATTAATTGTCACAGATTTATAATTATAGATCACAGATTTATTTACTGGTCACATATCATCAAATCAGTTAGTTATAGATTTTTTTTGAGGT